CCTGCCCCCTCTGTCATGGGACAAGAATACAGCTTTGCATCAGAAGTCAGCACTTGGGCAGCAGGGTCTCGGTGAGGCTTAGTGGCCCTTCTCCTGTTTGGCTGCCACAGTGAATCACTGGGAAATGTTCCCCAATCTCTTAAAAATGAGTGAAAGCAGAGTCATGCAGTGTGTCAGAAACTCTGCCACTGGGGGCAGTTGGTACAAAGGCGGCCTTCACTGGTGTGCAAATGTGCTCTTTCCCAGCTCTTCCATGTGCTTCTCGGGAGAATGGGAAGGGCAGCAGACATGCTGGTTGCAGGATGGGTCTGTTTCAGCAACTCATGAAAAATTAAACACTTGTGATTTTGGGAAGTGCCACGTCTTTGACAAAAGCTCTTGTTTTTCTACTGTTCAGGTGACTGTGCTGAAGTTACCAAAATGTCAACCTGTGCTCCCCACATCCCAGGCCAGGCAGCTGCCTTTTCCCTGCCAGCCTACCCCAACCCTGCACAGAGGAGGGAAACCTCTCTCTCAATGCCAGGGCGGCTGCTTTGATGCTGTCAGTGAGTTTTTCCTTTGCCACGGTGACAGCCTGTGTTTTGCAGATACCTGCCCCATGATGGGCACATTCCTCAGCCGCACCGCATCCACTCAGCTCCGGCTCATGCAGTAATTAGACAAGTGTTTCCTGGCTGCCTTTAATTACAGCCACAACTATTTCCCTCACTCTAATGTAACACCTCTGAATGACAGCAAAGGTTTTGGGCCGCATCCCACACGGTCCCAGCACGTGTTGAGACGCGGTCATGCACTGACAGACACTGATTTGAACCCAAAGGGCTCATACCCCCTCAGTGAGTCACATTTTTCATTTTCGACCTCAAGGCCATAATTGCCCACATTGGGAATTAGCGGTGTGTCCCCAGTACCCAGCCAAGAAGCACTGGGCTTTATAAAGCAGCAGAAGGGCAGCATCCTCACTAAATCCGTGCTTAAGTCTATCTCAACTGTAATTCGCCCTGTCCTGTGGCAAAGCAGCTCAGCTGGCAAGGCCACACTGCCCAACACGTTCAGCCCCTCAACGTTTTCACACTGACAGCAGCAAGTTGGGCACCAGGCCTGCCTGCCCACAGGCAGCCAGCAGCCCTGTGCCAGGGCACGCGGTCTCGCAGGGCTGCGTTTGCGGCAGCTCCCAAATTGATGAGCTTTCCCCCGCCAGCCCCTTGCTAACGCTGTTGCGGTTATCTGACCTGGTGGTGGTGGTGTTGCCATGGCTGAATCCTGCCGTATTGCTGCTCGGAGCCCCTCGTCAGCGGCTCCCAACCGGCTTGGGGGCTGCCAGAAACCAAGGCAGCAGCTGCCGCGCTCGGCCTCGCGAGGCTGTGATCTATAACGTGCATTGTCTTTTTATGTAATGTGTTTTATTAAACATCTTCTAAAGCTTACAAGTGTCCCCAGGACATAACTCTCCAGCACAACGTAATGCTTTGCCAAGTAATGAAGTATGATTTATGGCGGTAATGGTTATCCTATGTTTTTTTAAAAAAATTATTACAGCAATAGCTCTGTCGAATATAGGAATATAACATGCTGCATTTGGCACGTTTATGACAACAGTGCTCTGGTTTTCTTAACTCCACAGTTCGGTGTTGGCAGTATTTCAAATTCTTGAGACAGATGTTTAAATGAATTTTTTTAAGAGGACAGTGAAATACTTTTAAAACATCATACGGCGCTGAGTGTCTCAATATGTGCAGGAACGTTATTTCTTTAACATTCAGGTAGGGCAGGGCAGCACATGGCCTCTCTGGTTTAGATCTCACGGTAAATGATGGAAGTAGCAAATGTTGAATTAGCTTTCTGGGGCATCCTGGCCTGCTGTTACTCTTGGGCTGAGGTGGGGAGGGAGGGGCGGACACTTGACCTTCCCTTGGATTTAGTGCAGTGTTCACATCTCCTTTGTGAGCACTTACAACAGCTCCACGTTTGTTTTGAATGCACTTCCCACCATGCTGAGACAGGACTAAGTGGTCTCACACTGACATTTTGAGTGTGTCATTGTGGTCCCGGTGGTTAGGGTTTCAGGCCAGAAATGACAATCATTTGGAAAAATGTAAATGAGAACCCTGGTCATGTATGTCTGAGGCAGATAGCATTCGAGCATTTCCATTGAAACACTGAAAATTCTTGGCTTTTTTTTCCTAAAAAAAGGTACTGGCTGAAACTGAGGAAACCTGTACAAAACGAAGCCAGGGTATTCAGCTCTGGCATTGCTGTTTGCACCTTTCAGTGAGGGAAAATGAGAACCCACAAAGGCAGGAGCCAGCATTGCTGAAGACACCATCGCCTCAGTGTACCAGCGCTGGGGCCACAACCAGGCTGCGCACCCAGCTGCTGCAGAGAGATTGAAGACAAGGGAAGCATCAGTAAAGCAATGAACACTTATATTTAATTTACATTTGACAATTTGCACATAAATAATGATGTAAACCAATACGTAAACATATAATAGTTTGTTGTTCTAGCAAAGTAAAAAGCCTGTTAACTTTGGTCAGAGTCTTTCTTAAGAGAGACAAAAAAACCCCCAAAAACACTGTTGATTGTTGCTACATTCACATGTAAAACGTCTAAGGGGAGGGGGAAACAGTAAAGAGAAGTAACAATTCTTAAAGCTGATGCATATAAATTCTTGTAAATTTTGTATCAAATACAAGAAAGCACTACAGGCAATAACAGGAAAAGTGTGTGTCCAGTGACAGAGTAGTGATACTTTGGTTTATCCTACAATTAAGTACTATATTTATGAACTATTGCTACATCTAAAAGATGTCAGCCTCACAATTTGCAGGAGTGGAAATGTAATGAACTGGAGTCCTTCAAAAGCTGTGTTTAGAGACTTGTATTTCAGGGTTGTTTGTTTTTTAACAGAAGGCATTAAAATGAAGTTTGCTGGAAAAAAAAGACCACCTAATCCAGAACTGTTGAGGTGGACTTCTTAAAATTTTTTTAAGAACATAACCAGACAGAAAGGGATATATGGAGGGGAGGTGTGTAATAATGCTACTTATGTTCGTGTGAGTTGACTGTGCAGCTCGTTAGTGGCAGGGCACAACGAGACAAGGGCCTTGTCCCACCTGACTTCCATCCAGCCCTTACTGTGGTCACAAATCACATCACGCACGGGTCATATTTGGCTTCTTTTCAAGTTCTTTCAGTTAAATTTTCTGGCTGTCTGTTGACTGACCATCAGCCTCCTTCCCCCCCAGTGCAAACTGCCAGGAGAGCAAGGGACTGAAGGAAACCCTGGCCTGCAAACCAGGTAATTCCCACCAAATTCACTGAGATGCCACACGTGGATGCATGATGATGTCATTCACGTGTTTGCGAGTTCCAACTTCGCCTTCAGCTGTGTGTGTCTATTTGCAAGGGATAAATGCCTTGGTACAACCTTCTGGATTTGAGGTCATTGGTTATTTGCAAAACTGGGATAACATTTGATTTTCACACTTAGATGAAAAATAGGTTTTATTACATGGTTTGGCTCACAACTTAAGTGGTATAAATATATATACATATACATATATCGTATAGTGGTATAAATATATCTATAAATATACATGTATTCTTTGCTACACCTCAAACATCACCATATCATCTTTGGGCTTAGCAAAACAAAAAGATAAAAGGACGTGCATTCTATCTTTCCCTGTGCACATTTTGGTTTCTTCTCTAAAGTAGCAAAGCATTTAGGTAAAACAGCATTGTCTGCACCACTGGACACAAGCACTGAGGTAATTGTTGTTCAACAACTTTGCAATGCCCTTTTCTTCTTTAATTAAATTAACCACAAAATGTACAAACACAAATACTGAGAAAAATCTGAGTCGTACAAGAAGGAAGAAAAAAAATTTATGTGCCAGGAAAGGACTTTGTTCCCCACTTCTACCCAGGCAAAGTGGGAGAGAAAAATACAAGTAAAACTGAACCCCTTCTTACTCAGGGAATCTGACCATCTTTTTTTTTTTTTTTTTTATCCCTGGAAGGCTCTGGCCAAAAAAACCCCAAAATAAAACAAAAATCAAAAGAAAAAAAAATCTGTCCAAACCCCCCTTTTAGGCAGCAAAATATTTGTGTCTTTGCTTTTAAACTGCTTTTGGAAACAAAAGAATGTGAGATTTCATTTTGGAAAAGTCACTTTAAGCTCATGTGTTCCTTTGGTCTTAAAGTTACATGATAATGTGTGGGACTGGAGCCGTGTTCTAAAAACCTGTGGTATTGTCCATGGCAGGTCCATGTTTGCTGTGCCACATCTGTTCCAGGGAGAGCTGCAGGTAGAAGAATCTTTCTCCTCCCCACAGAGAGGCAGGAGAAAAAGTTTCTTCCCTGCTTGCTGCTACTCTGGGTTGTTGGTTTGCTATTTTTTTTTGTTTCTCCTTTTCAATTCCCAGTGGGGTGATTTGCTCATGAAAGTACACAGCATTTTTTTTCAAACCAACAGATCTAGGATTCTGTATGTCACATGTCCAACTTTGGCAATATGAAAAACCACATTTGTTTAAAAGACATTGGTACATAAAAGACATTTACTGAAACCCTAATCTTAGGTTCTTAAAACAGATGTGCAGAAAAAAAATATCTACAAAGAATGGCCATAAAACAAAAAATAAAAACATTTAAAGTAAAAATTACAATGAATTTTTCCAGTCATTGTAAACATTTTCCTAATTATTGCTTTTAGAATGATTAATTGCATAATAAATTATGAAGTACTATCATTGAAAAAATAATTACGGATAGATGATTGTCTCTTAGTAACTGGCGAGGCAATGCAGAGTCCTTTGCCCCTTTTTATGCCCTGAGAAAACAGTAACTTTGGAGTTCCTTCTTTCAGCTGGAGAGCTAGGGAAACTACTGTAAGCCAAGATTGCTTTGCAGCATTGAAACTATATACAAGCATCTGCTACAGGCACCCTGACTTGCCAAGTCATAAATAAAAAAAATCACTTTGCCAAAAAGTCTTAAGGGTCCATTGGTTCAATTGTTTCTTGCTTGACCTTTACAGGTAACAGAGGTAGTGGGTGACCGTGAGGCAACTTCATAACTGACATATCTGACGACTCGTAAAGGTTGCATCCTGAGGAGATAAGCCCATTTCCCAGGTTCCTCTGCAGAGAGACTTTCAGGTTAGCTCCTTCCATTTCCCTCCTGAGCACGGTCAGTATATCCTTCTCCACGATCGATGTTAAGTCGATATTGTCCTCCACTTCTTCCAGCTTGTCAGCATTGTCACTGATGTCGAACTTCTCAATCTCCTCATTGATCCGGTTCAGGTCCTCCATGGAGTGGCCGGAGGCCGGGGCGACGGGGCAGTAGCCCTTCAGGTGGACCTGGAGGCTGCAGAGGTGAATGTAGCTCTTGTGGCAGTGGATGCATTTATGGGGGCGTTCCCGGGTGTGGAGACGTTTGTGCAGCTTCAGGTGCACAAACTGGGTGAATTTGGCTGGGCAGAGCTTACACTGGTAAGGCTTCTCTCCAGAGTGGAGCCGCAGGTGGGTTTTGAGATTGCTGGTGCTGCTGAACCGCTTGTGACAAACCTAATGTGGGGGGTGGCAGAGAAACAGCGAATGAGTGGGAGGCGATTTTATGGTTTAAATCACAGACACATAGGAGGAGATGGCAGGATGAAGCAGCAGCTTTCTATATCTTCACACTTTCTCACAAAGGAAAAAAAATCCCCACCTTTTTTATTTAAACATTGCTGAATGTCATTTTGAGTGTGGCTGATGGCAAAACTGTATCAGGCAGGTGTTGCTCTGGCAGGCTGTAGGCAATCGTGCTGTCTCAGAGACGCTGCTGCACCAGGGCTGGGCCAGGCTGTGGTGCAGATTCCGGCCCTGAGCAGCCAAGGGTTTGTCCCTCAGCCCTCCCTGCACACTGTAGGGGGTGTGCAAAACCCTGCCGTCCCTTCAGCCTCCGAAGGATTCACCTCTCTCTCTGTGTTACATACCTGACACTCGTGGGGCTTTTCTCCCGTGTGTACCAGATAGTGCTTCTGGAGGTGAGCCAGCTGCGTGAAGCCCTTATTGCAAGTCTGGCATTTAAATGGTCTCTCTCCACTGTGTACTCGGAGGTGCACCTAGGGAGAGACAAAGCAATTAACAATTTGCAGTTTCCAGTACTACAACAAAAGTGCTTTCAGATGTTTCCTAAAGGCAGCGGAAGAGTCCCATTGCCAAAATACAATGTTATCTAGTTAATTAGGTGGCGTCAGTATGAAAGCACACAACCAGGCTTTCTTGCTGGGGGATGCTGTATTAAGCCCAGACACATAAACAGCCTAACAAGCAAGGGAGGCCTGACCCTGCTTTTCCTCGAAAACCTACAGGGAGAAATCTGAGCCTTCAAAGAAGGCTCCTGTCTTACCCTCCACTGCCTACCTTCAGATTGGAGAGCTGGCCAAAGGTCTTGGAGCAAACATTGCATTCGTACTTGATCTTCCCATTCTGCTTTTTCAGTGGGTATGGGAGGGTTTTGTAACCGGTCACATTCCTCTTACTTTTAATGAGATTCATGGCTTCTTCACCGCCGGTGGCAGCCAACACCACTGAGGTAGGTTTAGGTTGCATTATGTGTTCCGAACTGGCTGCTGTACCAGCGGTGGGGGACCCACTGGTAGGGCTGCATGGCTTGTCCTTCATGCTGGCAGCAGCGCCCGTGATAGAGAAGGCACTGTTGGGTGCTGGTATGAGGAAGTCTCTCGGATGATCAGGCTGCAGCAGTCGACGGCCTCCTTCACTGGGCAGTGAGCTGGGGAGCGTGGTGGGGTTGAGCATGTGGTGGGAAAGGCTACCTCCACTGAGCAGGTTGCCATAAAGAGGGTACATCCTTGGGAAGAGATTGAAATTGTTGATGCCATTGATATTGTTCAAAGCGCTCAGGTTATTACAGCTCATATTGAATGGAGGTAACAGGAATTTGGGGTAATGGGGGTTATAGGATGGTAGAAAGGCAGGTGAGAGGTGGCCAGGGGGTGCATATCCAGGATAAGACCCCAATCCTTCTGAGCCATATGATCCATTCAAGTAAGAGTATGGCTCTCTGTGCTCTTGGGAAGTAGGTGCCAGAGGCGAAACTGTGACCCCCGGACTACTGTGAGGGCTTGAACTTTTTAAACTTTGGTCTGGGCTGCTCCTCCCGGAAGGACTTGGTGTAGTAGATGCCTGGATGGGCGAGTGAGTAATGTAGCTGGGTCTGTCCATGCCATATGCTAAGGAAGCTTTCAGATAGTCTTCAGGAATGTGAGGTCGGATCGGGTAGACAACTCGAGGGAAGAAACACCTCTCTGGGCTATAGTTTTTACGTAAATCATCCAAGTCTTTTTCTGGAGTAACTGGTGAAATGTTGGTCTGAAAGAAGTCTTTTCCTTTAGGAGGATTGGATTCCATTTTCAGGATTTCTTTCACACTGTGCTCCTTCTTTGGGACGCTTTTCTGATAAAGCTCATCTTTATCAGCGCTGTGCTGCTTTGGATTAACGTGGGTTTGTGCTGAAATACAAAGACAAGATAACGATTATTTAGATATGTCACTGGTGTTATCTCTTTTCAAAACAGAATCTCACCCCTACAAGTTTAGTGGGAAGGAAGGGCTACTCTCAGAGACGAGCAATCATTCAGCTTGCCACAAAACTAATGGTTGTGTGAAGAAATGCCTGCTGGTATTAAGTGTTAATAAAAAGCATTGCTAATTTAAGGGATACCAACCAGTACATAGAGATCTGGATGATGATGCATTTGCAGAGTGCCAGCCTCCACTCTGCAAACTGATTTCACCTTTTTTCCCCCTTAAATTTGCCTAGCTTTGCTGTTGAATGTCTCTTTAAGCAGCATTTCTAATAAATGCGGTAATGAGCATTTGTTCACAATACAGGTTTAACTGAAGGACTTTGCAGAGCACAAGCTCCCAGAAATGTTCCTCAGTAAAATAACAAGGCATGACAAATCGGGTTTTGCCAAACCGCAGCAGTCACTTCACCAGCCAGTTCAATTACTTACAGTACCAAAAAAACCATGGCTGGCTAGGATGAAAGCCTTCTTCAAAGAGAAGGTATTCTCCATCAGTAAACAGATCATTACTCATTAAATATACTGCTTAGGAACATCTACAACAAAGCAGACTATTTACTGCAGATTTCTGTGGCATTCAGTCTATGCAAAACTCCTCTGCTTACAGCTGTATTTTATAAAAAAATGCTGAAGCAAAGTAAAAGAAAGCAAGACTGGTTGGCTCCAGCTTAAGTTGAAATGTGCTCTAAAAAAAAAAAAAAAAGGAAAAGAAATATGTATTTAGAAGGAACTAGAAGCTAGCATACATTCATCTCAGTTCAGCACATACTCTGGCATACTCTGGACACAATACACTTGTGACAGCTCACTGAAAGATGACTTCGTTCATTAGAAAAAGTAGAAAAACAAATCTGCCTTTATCTTTTTTACATAATCTTGATTACTTGTAAGATATTTTATTATAGGGGGGAAAGACTAGAAGAAGGTTTCATAATTACAGTTAGTTAGTTCAAGGCTTTCCATCAGCAGGTACAAGCCAACACCAGTAGGTACGTGACTCAAGAACACTGCAGTCCTTTAGAAACGTTTCTGCTCCCATGAATGACTGTTCTTACTTCACTATCTAAGGTGAGAAACAGTTATTTCTGATTTTTGGAGGATCATCTGAACCAAGTGAGGAACGTGAGAACAGGCAGTGACCACGCTGCTTTCAACACAGATTCTTTGCTTCACTATTCACTACCCTGATGGAATCTATCATTTGGCAACATTACCCTATAAGGCAAAGAAAGTCATTTATTAAACATATCCAAGAAAACAGCTGCTTGCACAGCGTGCTTCTGCTTACAGCAACCCACTTTACAGTAGCATCCTTTTTGAAATGGCATTAGACAAGTAATAAGAAAATTTAGTTTGAGATTTTTGAGTAGTTTGTATATTTTCAAGCTCCAATGAAATACAAATGAACACAGTTAAGTTCAATTAAAATATTTATAATAAAACTTAAAAGTGTTGTGCAGCAAGCATATGCACACATAAGCACACAGAAAGCTTCCCAATTACTTCTCTTGGTGTCCAAAGTTTAATGCAGAGATATATGAAAAATAAAGTAATAACATGTTGTGTTTTCTGGTTTTAAAAAAACATCTACTTTCTTTGGTAATTTTGTCTGTACTCCTGGACTGGTAACTCACTTTCTGAATGTCAGCCAGATTTTGGGGCATAGCACAGAGGTCCTACTAGGTTCAAGAAGCTCCACAATGGCACTGTGAATAATATTATCTCTATCTTCTTATCAGCTGCCTTTCACCACAGCAGTGTTTCAGAGCAAACATTCCTGGTGACACTATCAGCATCGGGAAGTATCAAGACCAGGCAGTATTGAAAACTGGACAGGGGGGTGGGAGGCAGGACTTGTGAAGCCTTGCAGCAGGAAAAATAAATAAATACCACCTTATCAGGCCCGTATCAGTTTCTCAGTGGGGTCTGTCAAGCAGGAAGTTCAAATTGACACTTTTCTCTTTTAAAGAAAAAAACCCAGGGGGAGGGGAAGAGGAAGGAGAAATGCTGGTGGTACTGGAAAAGTGACAGAGAAACTGGGGCCTCTTCAGCTGGAGAAACAGCTCCCACTGTCACAAGGTTAAACATGAGGGTGGGGATGTACGTGCCTTATGTGCAGGAGCAAGCCCAGGAGTGACAGAAAGGAAGCTCATGCAGAGATCGTAACTTTCTCTGTGCAACAATCCCATGCTCTCTCCTGACTGACTAAAGATAATTGTTTTTTTCTTCCCTTCTGAATTTTCCTGGTAAAGCTGTCCCTCTTACTAATTTCCATGTGCAGACAGAAGTTGTGATATTTAAAGATATTTTTTCAAGTCTAACTGTGACAGCTCTCTTTAGTTTGCAAGCTATCTTTGGTCCATAAATCCCCTCTTGGCTTTTTCCCTTATTACCTGAGCACAAGGGACACTTGGGAACACCAGAGAGATCAAAACATAAACAAGTGTGTCAGCACTGTGTAAAATAAGAGAAGGTAACATCCGGGGCCAAGGAGAGGTTCTTAAGTTTTATACTGAAGGTGGATTTAAACCAGGGCTGAAATTGATTGAGAGGTTTACAGCCTTTCTTGTTGCTCTTAAAGGAGTCATACTTCAAAGTTAAAGAGATAGATTTCTTATAAATGGATTTTTTTAAAAACTTGTGATCTTAGATTCAAGTTTTTACCAATCAGAATGTCTCCCATTCATTGTTGAAATGCATTTCTCCCCCCACCCCCATATACACACACATACACACACACACACATTATGGTTTTATATATACACAGTAAATACAGGCACATACTCTTCCAAGATCTGTCTAGTTTCTGTGGTCAGAGGGACACACAGAAAAGAGATTCATGACAAAACACGAATGGTGCAGCTGCATTTTTAAATTACTAATCGGGGGGGGGGGGGGGGGGGAAAAGGAAAAAAAATCCCAGATGTGCCTCTTGAGGATCCTGATCCACTTCTAACTGAGGTCAAAAGATTATTTGCTCAGACCTGAGATTAGTGAGTGCGTGCAAGAGGAAAAGGGACAAAACTGCTGTTACTTTTAAGTATTGATAAAACTTGGGTGAAGGAGCTGTCTGAAGTCACTCCAGTGTGGGTGTTCCAGCTACAGACTGCTGCAGAGCTATAGGTTTGCTCTCGGTTCTTGTGCTCTGAGCTGTAGCCGGAGAAACATTTCATAAAAACAATGATCTGTTCTTTTCTAAAAACTTGAAAAACGGTTGTAGGCAGACAGTAATTGCAACAGTAATTTCAGGAGTGAGATGGTACTGAACACTTCGAGTGGTAGAGCTTAATTATGCCGATTCACATTTTCAATCTAAATTAAGCACCTCTTTTGCTAGTAGAAAGAGAACCTCGAAGTTGTGAAGCGAGCAAAACAAAGACTGTTTCCACTCAAAATGAGAACAGAGACCAACATTCAGAAGTACAAAATTTGATCATCTGTTTTCTAAATGTGTCCATGGCAGTGTGACATGCCTTTGAAAACCTTTTGCTCAGAGAAGGTCTTTCTGGGAGCCTTCAAATAATTCTCAATATTAAGACAACTTCAGTCCCCAAATTCTGATTTTGTGAGGACAACTTCTCATATCATTTAAAAATCATTTTCCTGAGCCCTTTTGAACATTCCAGGAGGCATTTTTTTAAGCAAGTGCAGATGTTTCCTCTCAACCCAAACAGAAAAGCTTCAAAACCAGAAAGTGAAACTGCCCATAAACAAAAGGGAAAGCGAGTGACAGGGCTGAGCTAACGGCCAGCATGTCAGGGCCAGCAGGAAGAAGAGAAGAATAAATCACATTTAAGAAAAAAGCATTAAAAAGTTAATCTTCATAGAACCAGAAACACTTTAAATTAGTGTCTTGTTAAACCTGTTAATGAAACAAAAAGATTGCCAAATATTTTGTAAATATGCAAATTATCTTCCCCCAGCTTGAACTTTTTTTCTGAAGCTTGACCAAAAGATGTCACCTGCCTGTACTTGACTGAGGAGACAAACATGACATGAGCAGCAGGAAGTTGCATCATATGATTGCAATATATGAACATTATTATCAAATAGCCATGTCCTGAGTCAATGCAATTGTTTGGATTTTGTTGGGTTTTTCTTGTTTGGTTTGGTTTTTTTTTTAACTGTTAAGTTCTCCACCCCTCCATCCTAAAATAATCCTCCCATATTGAGGTAAGAATGAAATTCTAAACCATTTGGAACCGCCAAAGCAAATTTCCTCAGTGTTTGCTAAATAAAATATCACAGACTAAAAGACAATCTGAAGGAGCAGTTGAATGAGGTTAGGCACATTTAAAAAATTACTGAAAATTTATTTTTAGCAGAATACAGAAATTTTGTGCCACTATACTTAAAACTATTTACTGGACAATGGCACCATCTGAAGGTGACAAATCTTGACAGAAAACATGAGAGGCCTCAAAACAGGCAGGAAGGGAATGACATTTGAGTTTCCAACACTGGGATAATGTGGAGTCTTGCCTCTACCACTATTGTGCAACTCCTTGCAGGCACTTCAACATCCATTTGAAGTTACGTAGCTCCACTCGGAGCTAATCATGGCTGTGAAGGTAGGTGTGTGCTCCAGCGTCTGAAGGACTGGGTCAAAGGCCCCAATTCAGGAAAACACAGAGGACAGGGTTAAACCCACAACTAAGTACATGCCTAATTGCTGTCTTGCATCTGGATGCTTTCCTTCTGCGGCACAAATGAGCTAATGCTGGGGAAGTTACCTTTAATTTGAAAGTTTGCTGTTACACTGGCAAGTAGATGTTACATGTGGGTGTGTAAATACATTTATGCTCTAAAGTGGTAGTTCTCTCATTTTTGAGGCCACTAATTACAGGAAATAAAGCCAGAGAAATTCCCTGATACATTTTTCCCCGGAGGCCCATCCTGCTCTGGTGCTTAAAGAGGAACTAAGGTGCTGAACTCTAAGGCTGTGATCCCCAAACCCTTGAGGCACTTAAAGCAGCTGCCTATATTTTAAGTTGGCAAGACTGGAAGGTCTCTGTAGGTGTGTGTCCCAGGTGGCCTCCTGTGCTGGGCAGCCAGCCAAGGTACAACTCTTCCAAAGCCTCCCACGGGCACCAGTGTGCACTGCACACCCAAGGCGCAGTGAAGGGAGAGATCTGGGTGCAACACACCATGGCCACTGGCTGCCTCCCGCCCACACCAGCGTGTATCCCATGGGAGGAGGCCCTGACTTCAGCTTGCCTCTTGGGACCCCGACCCCAACTTTCTCTCCCTCCTCCTCAGCGGGTGCCAAAACCAGCAGCCACAGGCTGGGAGAGGTGGTGATTCACCCCTGCTCTTCTGAGGGAAGCCATACCACTTTAAACACCAAATTATTAGCAATCCATTTGGCTGGAGAGGGCTTTCCTGACTTCCTAGCAGATTGGGGGTGGGGGGCTGGGGGAGGGGGTCCCCTCAAGCAAGGCTGTGCTCAGATGTCCTGCTAGGCCAAAGATCTAGCACCCTGTATCTGCAGCAGATACAGGGTGCCAGAGAACTGGGGACAAACTCCTGCACTTTACTCATGGATGAATGCAGTGCCAGGGTACCTCGGACAGCCTTTGTGACAGAGAGAGGCTGGAGAGGCAGCACGATGCTCTCTAATTTTAGATTTAACTAGTGGCCTGGGAGAAAGGAGCAGAAGAAAGCTAAACAGTGCTGGTATTCACAGCAAACTTGTCCGGTTCCAGTACTAATGCTGGAAAAACCACCCCTGTTTGCACCATTGCTACAGGGACTTGGGCAAATAAAGACCTTTGGGAGACTTTTGGATTTTTCTTCCACACATTTTAAAAGGCTAACTTTAGAAAACCTCAATCCTTATGGTACCTGTAGGGTTTTTGGCCCATCTGCAGGCTTCAGGCCTGAATGTGTTGCTTACAAGAATGAGGGGAGAAGAAAAAAAAAAAAAAAGTGAGAAGTTTCTCTCATTTTCTGAACTGCTACTTTCTTTAAGTGGAAGGAGCTAACATAAAATTTCTAAATTGTTTAAACGTAATTATCTTAAAAACTAGAAGAATGTCTATTTCAAACTCAGCAGCTGGAAATACTGCAAATATTAAGGCTGAACTACAAAATTGTGGCTCAGGTTCCCATTTCTTTAGATCCTTATACTGAGCCTACTACTTTTACTAAAATTAGTATTCTGCCATTTACTAAAATCAGTTATTCTGCCATGTCCAGACATCCCTAGTTTTGACCTGATTAAGAGTAACTGGACACAGTAGGAAACACTTTACAAATACATTAATTGCTACTTCTGCAAGGAAGCCTAAGCTGCCAGCAGATGCAGGAAACTGAACCTGTGTTTGTGCATCCTCCTAGCTAGTGACCAAATGTGCCTGACTAGATTTTAGCAAACTCCTCATCCACCAGAGCACTGCATGCTGTTGTCTCATCTCACCTGAAGTTCCCACTGAAAAGCCAACAGCTCATTATATCAGGAAATAAAACTGCACAGGGAGTGGTGAAATGACATATGTGCAAAGATGACAGAATCAGTGAGATAGTTTCTGAACAGAGAATATAGCTGCATAAGACATTCCCTCCCTCTCTTCCCTCTGTCATTAGGAGACAACAAGTTTTCTTCTATTAATTTGTAGGGAAAGACAAAAAGCTAAGACAAAGGTGACACTTACGGAGTATAGAAGTACTTTGATTAATCTGAATGTGTGATGTAAGTTTTCTAATATGGGATGACAATTCTAATGATCCCCAAGTAACACTGATATTTTATAACCCATTCCTTGTTGCCAAAGAACCGTAAATAGTTCTTCTTATTAAAAAAAACAAAAAAACAAAAAAACAAAAAAACAAAAACAAAACAACAAAAAACCCCAAAAAACTGCTTGCAGTTTTTCCTTCAAGTTTCAGTGTAGTCACTGGCAGAAGGACAAAAGAATACTCTGCTTTAAGAGCAGCAGCAGGGGAAGTAGCCTAAGAGTCCACTGAGAAGTCAGCAAGAATCTTTTCTTCTCTAGAAGGGGCTCTGGGTGAGGTGTCAGGCAGTGATTAAGCGAGAAGTAAAGCACCAAGGCTGGAAATAATCAGAAACCACAGAGGAACACAAACTCCTGGAAACACCTCTTCCCTCTGCTACCAGTGCTATTATTTTTGAACAGAAAATGAAAGCTGCAATAAAAAGTCAAGAAATGGGGACAAAGTACACTGAGCTTAAAACACAAGTAACCAGATGAGAAGACCACAGGAGGTTTGCTCACATCAGATAAGTAAGGGAAGATGCAAGGCTCAAAGTGCATTATGCAGTAAACACATATTTTGTCAGACACCTAGACAGAGCCATGGCACGTTGCCACTTCCTGCTACAGTGAGGGCAGCCCTTTGGGAGCATGAGTGGACAGCCTTCAGTACATGCTACCAAAGCGGACTTTTGCTCAACACACTGTGAGATCTGAAATTGCAAAGTTTGAGAGTGAACCAACAGCTATGGTTAGGAAGACAGAGGTCAGGTTGTCTGTCCAGAATTTCACCAGATAAGACTCAGATTGTAAACAAACAACTACTCAGATTTTATAATTTCTTTCCCTTTGAACAGGCACAGGAAACTCATTCTCTTGTGTTGGATTTTTTAATTCCCCTTTTCCACTCCAAGCTACCTCCTGTGACACAACAGATGATGCAGCTGTGTAATTATACAACTTATTATTAGATCGTATAGGCAGAAGAGACATTACTAGCATTCCTTGTTTATACTGTAATCCACTTACTGAGGTTCATCATTGTCAGCTCTCTGGAGGGGGGATAGTGCAGCCTCTCTGCAAAGTCTCGGCAATACCACACAAGCAGCTCTTGGTTGGCAGGGATGGGCTTGATGGTATAGAAGTAGATGTTCATTCCATTCTGACAAGCAGCCAAGTTCTGCTCCTGAACAGAGTAGCCAGGGTTTACATAACGCATCCAGTTGCTCTTGTCCTCGTTAAATCCATCAATGAAGTGGTGAAGTTCACCGCTTGAATAGATCTGGAATAGAGAGGAAGTGCTTATGAATATATATACATATATATATAAGCACAATATGCAACATGTAGGCACAGAGTCCAGAGGGGAAAAGTGATAAGCTCCTTTTTTTTTTTTTTTTCTTAAGATGAGCATATATTATTGAAGTAAGAGTTCAAGCTGTGTTCCTGCCTTTCCAACAATGACATCCTCTGAGTTAAGAAGCTTTTTAAAGGCAAGTCCACAGTCACCTTTTCCATTTAATCTTAGCCTGTGTCTCTGCTAGCTTCGGAAAGCAAGACCCAAAATCTGAAATGCAGAGTACTCTCTCTGTGTGAACAGTCTACCTTAGAGTCCTTTTCCTGGTGCTCTGATCAACAAGTGGGTGATGCTGATGACGGCAGGTCTGAGTGCATGCTTGCATTAATGCTTTGAGTCACCTGTGTATAAGACTGGCTGTGCTATGTCAGAGTTCTTCTCGCCTCTTTCTATGGCCTCTGTACTTGCAGTTTCCTACCACCTCCACCCAAAGGTTTAAACTATGCAAGCATTCTCCACCCCCCAGAGTCCTAAAGCAACACTTGCTCATAGTTGAACTGTAACCCTTTTGTAGGAAGGCTGGGCGAGGCAAAGATGAAATTCACCTGCCATAACTGAAGGAAGACCTGACAAGGGGCTAGCCCATGAGATGTCACTTTTCCTACCAAGGGACATGTTCTGACTTGTCCACAGAGGGGCAAGAAAGCATGAGTTTGAAAACTGCTCAGCAGTTTCAGGGGAAAGAAGTTCCCATCACTGACAGAAGATACTGTTTCTTGAAATATAAGAGAATTATTTAAAAAAAGCAAAAAATTCAAGAGAAATCCAGGAAACACGCCTGTAAAAACACACTGCTTACTGTCAAGGGGAACTAGCTCCATGCTGGATGAAATGGGGTTCCTGGTTTTCTGAAAACAGATGACCAGGCAAAAGCCAGACCTTGAAGTGGGAGCAGCTTGCACCAGCAACGCACCTCGCTGAGCAGGAAATGCTTTTCCAAAGGGGAGACAGCTTATCTCGGGGAGAAAACACCGCACGGGGTGTTCCTGCCCGTGTGCCCTCAGCACTGTCTCTCGCAGCTCCCCGGCCGGGCAGCGCCCTCCGGCCGGCCGGGACCCTGCTGCGCTCCCCGGAGCCCGGCGGGCAGAGAGGGCAGGCGGCCTGGCCCTTTAACTCGGGCCGTAAACACCAGAATCACTTTCTTTAAGAGTAACTTCCTGTAAACTGAGAAGGGGGAAATACATGTGGCCTCATCAAAGCAGCTTGCGAGAGATTTTGCGGTGTGTTTGTTATGAGAAAATGGAAGGGAGCCGGGCGAGTTGTTGCTGCATCAAGAGGAGCCTTCGGGTTCCTCTGCTCACCCCGGCTCGCAAACTTCCAGGAACGCGGGGCTCTGGCGCTTGGCGCCTGCCACCACCACTGCCCAAACCAGCCCTCCACCGCTCCCACGTCAGGGCCACGGCTCCGCGTCCCCGGCAGAGGCAGCCCCCAGCTCCCACCTATTCTGGGGAAGGCGCGCCCAGATGTGCTGAGTCACGGCGCGGTTCCCAGAAATGACGCGGGCCCGGGCGGCCGCGCTCCCCTGGCGCGGGCAGCGTCCCCGGGCGCCCCGCAGATGTTCCCGCTCCTGCCAGCGAGCCCAGGATGCCTTTAGTAACATGTGGGAAGTTATCTCCCACAATTTCCTTTGCATATGCAAGCCTGTGTCAGACCCCTAGGAAGGAATTAATTTTCAGTGCAGCAGTCTGCCTTGAACGAATCAAGATATTATAACACGGAATTTAATGATGCTTAGATGGCTCCTAGAATATTATTTCTGAGGATCCCTCCACATTAAGGCTTAAAATCACATCATAGGAATGATGTCATCTTTCTCACTGCAATGTAGGAATGAAGCCCTGCAAGATGGCTATCAGCCCTTTTTCCCTGTGTCAGCCTCCCAGTCTCTTCCTAGACTGGACACAAGCTCCCAAAAAGTTCAGGAAAAAGAAACATTTTGTGGCCTTCTTAATGTGAAAATAGTTGTCTGCTCTGTAAAAACACTCATGCAAATAACTGCCTTGCAATGCTGTATTATATTGTAAAAAGAAGATCTGAGAAAACCAAAATGATTCAATTAGGTAGGAAGAAAGGGGTGTGGGGAATGCTGGTGCATGCCCTGGGTTTCACCTGGATATGAGGTTGGGATATTACTAAGGCAGGCAGGCACCTGAGCGCAGAGGCTTGGACACAGTCCCAAATCCACGGATTTAGACACAACCTACATGGCTAGAAGGCAGCAAAACAAATCCATGGAGTGAGATGGGGCTGAAGGAATGTTCTCTAACAATTAATAATGTGTCTGTAAGGAAAATGAGGATTATGTCAACTGATAAACTGGAAGCATATTCCACAGCACAGACTGCCCACGCCAAAACATATTGGCTGCTGCTTTCTTCCAGCTTATACTATGGAGTACAAATTAGGCACCACCTCTGGTGTTTGTCTGTTTTCCCCTTTGCTAAGATCCATGATCTGCTCTTTTAACAATTCTGAGGAGAAACATTTATTAATTGAATGATACATGCTGAAGACTACCACCACTGTTTTATAGCAGCTCTATACAAGAAGCAGGAAAAAATGTCAGAAAATGTATCATAATTCCAGAGTGAAAGTTTATGCAGTACTTTAACAGCATCTTCATGGTGGGAAGAATCAAGGACGTGATACTTGCATAAATCAGAATGACTTTCTGTTGTGAAGAAATGCAAAATAACCTGCCCTTACAGCAAGCAGCAGAACTATTTCTTTACAGAATCAGCACCGATACATTTTGGAAGAACGAGCCGGGAAGGGCTGTGCTCTCTCCACCCACAGAGTCCCTACATCCAAGACAGCCAGGCTTTTACTCGGCTTTATTCACCCACTGGCCCTGTTTGTGCCGGGCCACATAGAGAAGCTGTCCCCTGCATCACACAGCAGGAAGTGACCCAGCTTCTCAGCCATACTCATTTAGTGATCTGCTCACTGCAACAACGTGGGGCTGTTTTTTTCCTACTTACCCGCCAAAAGTATTTTCTGTTTGCATTCTTGGGAACTGTATCACTGGTATAGATCTCTCCTACCAGGGGTCCAAAGCGTGTTCCTTTTGGGATGTACTCTTTGCTTATCACTCCAGTGACCTACAAGAAGAGCAGCACAGGATCAGTCCGTTGCCAATAGAAAATGAAAAGCATCCCTCTTTTCCCCTGTTCCCCAAATGTAACAAGGTAAAGCAAACAATGCAAGAAATTTTTTGTGACAGGTCAGCAAAACAGAAATTAATAAATGGACATCATGTTGGTTACAATATGAACAGTTTTGTTAGGTCCTGGCATTTTCCTAAGACATATGGAAGCTAATGATGAATACCACCTTAAAAATGTGCTTTTTGGAAATACATTTACAAGAAGAAATAGTAAGAAAAATGTACACAGACTCAAATATCTTCAGAAGTTATTTTTCCTATCAAAGGCAACCCCTAGAAGTCTAGTTCCAGCAAACAAAAATATGCAATATCTATCAATCACTTCACTGCTAGAGAGCTTGCTTTTCTAATAAGTTAGGAACTGGAATGACTGCTCTTCCAGATCAAAATGAAACCACCCTCCACCCCCCTCCATTCTTTGGTCTATACCCGCCCTGATAGCTAAAAGGAGAACACAAAAAAAAAAAAAAAAAAGACAACCTTCAGTTCTCTTACCAGCATACAGTGGCATACAAAACAGAACATAAAATGGCTCTGGGACATATACTCACAGGTCACTTTCTTGTACAAAAAGGAATCATCAGTTCCGGTAATATAAATTAAGTGGGTTTGGTCAAAAAAGGTGTAAGGATTTTGAAGAAAATGCTCCACTGTGCTAGGTCTAAGAAATGTATTCTGGTTGTTCAGCTTCCTTCTTGACAGTAATTATACCAAAAAAAGTCACTGACCACAAATCAGGAAGCAATTCATCATTATTCAGAAGAACGTGCCTTGGAGTAACCCTTTGCAAAACACTGCTGAGTTATTGGTTTTGTCTCTCTGTTTCTCACCAATCTTCTTAAATTTAATGTATCTAAACAATGTTAGAAAACTAACAATTTTGTAAACCAAAAACCCCAAGCCTTTGCAAGACTGATTTTGCTGCTCAGCCAGCAGAAAAAAAAAAGAAGGTAAAAAGCCTATTAATTTGGTATTAAAACCAAATATATTATAAACTCTGATAGCAAAATGTATTGGACATCTTTCCACTTGTCTTGCCACACATGTTGCCACTTGTCTTTTTGCTCACCAGGATTTCAGAAGAAGGCAGGAACACAAGAAGTAGTTGAGGAAGACTGAGAGCTGGGATTACTGCTGTCTGTACCCCACAAGGAATCAATGTCCTTACAAAAGCAGATTAGCACGCATCAGACCCTACAGACAGCTCACTTCAGTGAGTTTTTCTATTTCTTTTAACAGTCCTTCTCAGCTAAGCCTTCTGATTTACTCATGCTACATTTTCTTACATTGTTTGATCCTTAATGTGTAAGTGAGAGGCTGACAGAAAAATCCTTGCTTGTGTACTGGTCAAGATTAAAAATCCCAGTAAAAAATGAACACCTAGCATAATTTCCTGTTAAATGTCAAAATATAGGGGCCAAATAACAGCCATGGATTCAAGGAATCACCTGGAATCAGATTGCTGGGTGTTCGTGGTGGCTGTTTGTACTCGTTTGCATTTTAACATGTGTTTTCAGCACACTACAAAGAGAAAAAATTAAAACATCAACAGCAGAGGTAGTTAAATGCTCCATTGATCTGTGCATCTGGACTGAAGAGAGAGAAGAGGGACTTCCAGAAATTTTCTTACACCTACCATATGCTGAAACAAGCTCAGTGGCTCAGTTTTATTTTTGTCTTGCTTGTACATGTCTCATACAGAGCTGAAAAAGGCAGATGTTCTTCTCATTTTCCCTATATATCTTAATTTACATTCATCTGCCCTCTCAAGAAAAGTTCACAACCAAGCTACAAGCACACCCTAATAGTTTTACTGCATGATAACTTGAGATTTTTCATGGTTTTAAAAATATCTTGGCCTTAATTAAAACGACTTTAATGAAATTCTCAGAATCTCTAGAAATCACTCCTTGAACTAGTCAACTTGAAACACTCTCTGACACAGCAGATACTTTTTGATATCCACCTTATAGACAGCGTTTGTGTTCAGCTGTGCCAGGAGAGAAGCAAAGATGATTTCTCAGCCTGTACCCATCAGAATTCGGCAGAAGAGGTTCTGCACATCTGCGTGCGCCAATGCTGAAGTTTTGCTAAACCAGGCTATAAAGCCATCCGGATGACTTTTAGCTGACGGTGCCTCTCAGGTCAGCAATTCTCGGCCTCCACTGTTCCCGCAGAAGCTCAGCTGCTGGGATCATGAGGGGCACCCTCCAGGAGAAGGCCGCCGGCAGTGCCAGGACAGCCTGGCTCCAGGCAGCCGGCCGCCCCCCTGCCGCAGCCAGAAGGGGCTCCTGCCCCGCCGCAGCTCGGCGGGTGCGCCTTAAGAAGAGGCCAGGAAGCAGGGAGTTGCCGAGGGCTGGCAGGCAGGACAGCGGCGCAGCGCCGGGTCCGGAGCCGGGGCTGAGCCTGCCCCGGGCTGCCGGAGGGCCGTGCCGGAGCGGCACTTCGGAGCTGCGTCCGCCAGGTGTCCTCCAGCGCTCCGCTCCGCTCAGCGGCGGGGAGCCCTTCCCGGGAGCCGCGGGGAGCCGGGCGCGGGCGCTCCCCAGAAGCGGAGCCCTTCTGCCGCCGCCGCCCGGGCGCTGCCTGCGGGGCCCGCACCGCTCCGCACGGCAGCCACGGGCTGCTTCCCCACTAGCTCCTCTCCACAAGCGCTTATCCCTTCTCCCTTCAAAGCTCCCAGCACTCGGCCGCGTCCCTGCTCTCAGTTGAGCAGCACTTCCAGCAGGAAGGTGCAGCCCGGCGTCAGCCGGAGCCCGCTGCCCGAGCGGGCCGGCTGCGAGCGGCGCCCGGGCGCGCCGGCGGGGACAGCGCGGCCGC